TGATAGGGGGGAATAATGTGTGGTCCCTTTAGCAGATAATGTGTTTTTTCTAGGCTTGGAAATTTAAAAAAATATCTGCAGGCGCACAGAGATTTCCTGAAATTGAAACAATGTATCAAGAGGCTGTGTGGTTAGCAACCCAGACAGTAATTTATTTTGTTATTAAGGCAACCAGTTTGAAAATCAACCAGTTAATTTAAACTCAGCACTTAGGGACTAAAAACCAATTAAATTGAAATGATAGTTTTGACAACCTAGGCCAGATCCTATTGTAAGAAATTAATAGGTCAAAGGTATAAAAGAAGAAGGCCTTTGAAACTTGGTTTGAGAACAACTACCATCTGTGACAGTTAACAACCAGCTGCGCTAAAGAGAAAAATCACTGCCTCTCAGAATTGTCTAAGCTCTCAGAAAACCATCATCTGATTAAAGGTACAGTGGCACTCTTAGCGAAAATTGCTGACACAAGAATTTGATGGAGAAAGGTGTTCCTGACTAAAGAACAGCAGAGAAGTCACCATTCTGGAAGACATATCTTGGCTGTAATTTTGACAGACTAAATTTTAAGTCTTTTTTTTATTTATTAAATTGATTTATATAACTGGGACTTGTATTTATTGGAACAGCATACCATTAGAACCTTGTTTTATTTGGGAATAGTTAGTAGTTAAGGAGGAATTGTTTGGTTTGTTAGTAATTCTGTTAATTTGTTCATTGTTTAGAGTTAGATAAATAAATTGTTATTTGTTGATTATAGAGTGACTGTCAGGAGTTCATTTCATTTAACCTCCTCTTTATAATTGATTGGGGAATGGTGAGAGGCAGGTTAGACCATTTTCACACTTCCTTTAACAGATTATGAGGTGAGGTGAGCTTCTCCAGGTGTTTTGGTTTTAGTTATGCGGGGGGGTCAACCCCTGCTTCATAACACTGTGTCACTCAGACATTTCGAAAACCTTCCTCTTTGACCAAGTTATTGGTTATCTGACCTGTTATCTCATTATATGGATTGGTGTTTTCTAATGCTCCTGTGAGGCACTTTGGACAGAGTTTCATAATGCCAAGGTGCTGTACTGACATAACTTATTGTTAGAATGCAGCCACCGCTGTAATTTATTCATGGGATGTGGGCTTCACTGACTGGGCCTAATTGTCCTTGAGAAGGTGGGGGGTGAACTCCAGTCCATTTGGTGTTGGAATGCAAGCAATGCTGTTAGTTAGGCAGGGAGTTCACAGATTTTAACCCAGTGACACTGAAGAAACAATCAGGATGGTGAGCTGTTTGGAGGAGAATTTGTAGGTACTGGTCCCATGTTATTGCTACCTATGTCCTTCTAGATGGTAGTGGTCAGTGTTTGGAAGATGATATTTAAGCAGCCTTGGTGAATTTCTGCAGTGTAACTTGTGGATGGTACACGTTGCTGCTACTGCATGTCAGTGGTGGAGGGAGTGAATATTTATGGATGTGGTGCCAATCAAGTGGACTGCTTTGTCCTGGATGGTGTCGAGCTTCTTGAGTATTGTTTGAGCAGCACTCATCCAGGCAAGTGGGGAGTACTCCAATATATTCCTGACTTGTGCATTATAAATGGTGGACAGGCTTTAGGGAGTCAGAAGATGACATGCTGCAGGATTCCTAACCTCTGACCTGCTCTTGTCACCACAGTATTAATATGGCTTGTCCAGTTCAGTTTCTGGTTGATAGTAACTCCTACGATGTTGATAAATTTGAGCTGATAAGTTTTTGCTGGTGTGCTATTCATGTATCAAGTGCTGTTTACTCAATTTTTGGGGAGAATCATTGGCCTGGTATATGCTGTCACCCTCAATGTCCCACTCCAGCAAGAACTTCTTTAAATATATAAAAGGAAAAAGAAAGCCAAAGTTAACATTAGACCCCTTAGAGAATGTGGCTGGGGGAATAATAATGGGGACCCAGGAAATGGCAGAAGAGTTGAATACATACTTAGCATCATCTTCACTGCAGAAAACACAAATAGCACTTCAAATCTACTAAATAATCAAGGGGCACAAGGATGAGAGGAAATAAATATAATAACCATCACTCGAGGAAACAGCGGTGGAGAAACTAATGGACTAAAGACCGATCAGTTCGATCGGTCTAATGGGTTGCATCTAGCATATCAAAGTAGTTACAGAGATAGAGGATGAACTGAATCTTTTAAGAATCCTTAGATTCTGGAAAAGTCCCAGAGGATTGAAAACTGCCAATGTAACACCATTCTTTACAAAGGGAACGAGATAAAAAAAAAGCTAACTATAGGCCAGAGATAGCAAGAACTGCAGATGCTGGAGTCACAGACAACACAGTGTGGAGCTGGAGGAACACAGCAGGCCAGGCAGCATCAGAGGAGCAGGAAAATTGACATTACGGGAGTCTGAAGAAGGGTCCCGACCCAAAGCGTCAACTTTCCTGCTCCTCTGATGCTGCCCGGCCTGCTGTGTTCCTCCAGCTCCTAACTGTAGGCCAGTTCATTTGA